CGCAGTCTGATGCCGGTCTGTCGACTAACTGGGACTGGATCTATGTTGACGATGCAGATCAAGCTGCTGCAAAGTCGATGTTGACACCCAAACCGCAGACGCCGAGAATTCACTTGTTCCATGGGAAGAAGCGTAAGAGGTCGATTGCATCGTCCACTCCTACACCCCCTAATGAGCCAAAATGTACCGCGAGGGTTGTCGGTAATGAGTTTGTTTGCCAAAGTTTGATTTTAGGTCGCTTGTTTGAGGAGTGATTCCTTGTCTTAGCTATTGATACCATAGTATATCGTATCTAGTCTTTAATGGATCTATTTAGTCTCACATTTACCTACAAATGTATTCAAAATCAACAGGACAAAACTCATTTGGTATCTCTATTCTCGAAGGAAGCCAATACAACGTTATTTGAGTAATCAGCGAGTCATACCAGGAGTAGTCTCTGTGATGTCAGATAGCCGCTCAGTAGCAGGGATAGGCTCCGGGATACCTGGCTCACGAGAGGTGTCGTGCATGTCTCCAACTGCCGGCTCTTTGCCTTTAAGTGATCGTTGACTCGGCTCTACAGCCAAATCATGCTCGGCTGTAGATATAGGCTCTGGCGCATTTGACGTAGGTGCATCGTGGGTGTTGGATATTTCAGGGTCTCCAGCTGCTTCCTCTGTAGCTAGCTCAGTGGCTGGTTTACTTTCAGTAGCCGGTGTTGTCTCCTGATCCTCTAGCTCACGGGATACACTTTGGGAATCTCCGACGGGTGGTTCCGCTGTCCCAGGTGTCTGCTCTGCGCTTGACTCGACAGCTGCTAACTGATTATCCCCAGACGCCAAGATACCCTGTGATTGCCCGTCGGGTGGTTGCATAGAAGCCTGGGGATCTTGTTCGCCCGACTGCTCGATGTCCTCCGGGGCTGGTCCCGCAGATCCTTCGACACGGAAAAAGTCCCCATTCAAAACCTTGATGAGGACTTCCGCTTCAGGTGGTGGAGGGATCGATCCGCTCAGCAGCTCCTTTGCTCGGATTTCCCGCCCATAAAGCTTTTTGTTTGCATCTGCTCGCTCTCCAAGAACACCACCCTCGACTGTAAGACCGCCGTATAATCCACGGGTCTTGGAGTAAGCGAACACCCCAGTTGCGCCCTTCGTACCCACTACTCCCCCAGCCTCGGCACTGCGACCAATAGGCCCGACAGCCATAGATATATTCCCACCAAGAGTCAAGTTTCCCGCCTGCATGAATGTCTTCACTGCTGCGTCGGTAGTCAGAACGAACACGAAATCGGTCAATTCTGCGCCAAATTGACCACCGGCGCCGACGCCGCCCATTGCCATGGCTGACGGGGCGGACCAACTGCCATCTGGGAGACGTGCGACAATCAGTCCCGAGCCAAAGCGGATTGAGCCCAGGAATCCAAGTCTGAGCGCTGTGAAGACGGCGATTCCCTAGCATAGAGTGAGTCGGGTCTATTTGGGTCGTTTCACGGTAGGATATCTCTTACCTTGGCTCCTACGAATATCTTACGTGGGATTTTTCCATCGATCTTGAGTTTCGGGTTGGTGAAGGATTCGAGAATCGCAGCGGCCTTTTTGCACTCGCCTGTGGAACATGGTCAGCCTAGAGTCAGCCATGTGGGGTAGCAGTAGCACGGAGGATAATACTAGATAGTGAGGCAGGCAACGGGTTGTGCAACGGGTTCTTCATGGCATGTATCTTTTCTCCCGCTTTGTGATGTGCTTTGCAACAAGATGTCTACGTCTACGCAAATTTAAGTGATGTTGTTCTCACAAGGTCGTATATCAGGGGTTGGCGTTTAACTTAAATTGCGCACGGACGTTTCACGAGGTTGGTATACTTCGCGATTGTACGGAGTAACAGGAAGGGACATGGAGGTTCATAGGTTCATCGGATTTCCAAGTAATTCTATGCATAATTTAGAGGTTCACACCTCTATCTGGCAAAATGTTGGCTATGTTACACTGAATTGATTCGGAAGAATGAAACTGCCAAGTGTTTAGGGCCTCGTATGATGAAACATGTAGCGAGATATATCTATTACCATATCCAATGACTCATAGACATAGTCATTGTAGTGGAATCACGAATCCCGATGTTTATGTGCGGCTTGATGAATTACAGATTATGTAGTTTGCCTGGTAGATCATCGAGGGAGGGTTTATGCAAGATATAGTTTCATCTCACGCGTCGAAAGTAGTTAGCTGCAGTGAGAATATAATATTCTCGGAGGGACTATCGCTCTCTCTATGATCTATCTACACATGTAATGTAACATTGAAATTGAGGCGAATCAGAAATAAAGTTCGTCCAGAGCATCCATGGATAAGGCTGACGGGCCGCGGTTATGCTTAATTTTTGAGCCAGCTGCACTTAGGGCTTACCTAGGGAAAGGGGTACCCGGCCAACGGTTTGGGCCGTGCATTTGGCCGGTTAAGCCGGGTCGTAACTACCCCAATACTATTATGAAACCCAAATACAATGTCTCAAGGCTGGAAGATCTTCGGAAATAAGCCTACTCTAGTGCAACAGTTGCAATAGTCCTGCTGAGAGTTGTACATATCGGCTCCATTTCGCTGCAACATACGCATCTTGTCTCAAGTCCCCAGCGGTTGGACCATTATTCCCGATGCTGTTCCAGACCACTCTAGTACTTCTCGTACTTCAGACGACTAGCGTGGCATCTGTGTCCTCGAAACGAGGAGCGATCCCCCTCACCGCTAAAACGTTCGATTATGTGGTCGTTGGTGGCGGTACCGCTGGAAGCGTGATCGCGACGCGATTAGCACAGAACGACTTCGAAGTCGCCTTGATCGAAGCTGGGGGACACTACGAGCTTGAGTCCCTGGCGGAGTTTCCTGCAGCTGATGCGTTGTCGATGGGATCTGATCCTACTTTTAGCTCACCGGAGGATTGGGGCTTTGTGGCAAGAGATCAACCGGGTGCCAATGGGCGGTCGATTCATTTCGCCCGAGGAAAATGTCTTGGGGGATCGTAGGTATCTCTTTCCAAGTCTGACATATCAGATCAAAACTAATTTCTTTGCAGGTCAGCGTTGAATTTCATGGTTTACCAACGGTAAAGCCCCATGGGAACTAAATGCTTAGGCTTGAATAACCGGATCATGCAGTCCGACACGCGAGTCTATGGACGTATGGGCAACTACAGTCAACGACAGCAGTTACGAATTCGACGAAGTACTCCCATTCTATAAGAAGAGCGTTCAGTTCTCGCCCCCAAACACCGACTATAGAGTTCAAAATGCTTCCGCCGACTTCGATGTCGATGCTTACGACTCGGATGGTGGCCCATTGCAGGTGTCGTATGCTAACTTTGCCGAGCCTTTTTCGTCATGGATGAGCCTCGGTATGGAGGCTATCGGCATTGGTCAGGCAAAGGACTTTGTCCAGGGTGATATAATGGGAGCCCAGTATTGCGCATCGACCATCGACCCAGCCAACGAGCTCCGAAGCAGCTCCGAGCAGTCTTTCCTATCCAAGATCACGCCCAAATCACTGACCACCTATACAAATACTCTTGCCAAGAAGGTGGTCTTTGATGAAAATAATAGAGCAACAGGAGTTCAAGTGAAAGGATTGCTGGGCGATCTTGTCGTCATTTCGGCATCGGAGGAGGTTATCATCTCTGCCGGTGCCTTCCAGTCCCCCCAGCTCCTCATGGTGTCTGGCATTGGCCCCGTCGCCCAATTAGAAGAGCATGGAATCGAAGTTATAGCCGATCGACCAGGGGTTGGTCAGAACATGTGGGATCACCCATTCTTTGCTCCCTCCTACCGGGTGCGAGTGACAACATTCACTAAATTTGCTACCGACCTGATGTACGCGGCTAGCCAAATTGCCAAAATGTTACTCGACAAAAAAGGAGTCGTCACAAATCCAATCGCAGATTTCCTGGCCTGGGAGAAGATTCCTCGATTCTTGAGCGAGGAATTCTCCGAGGAAACGAAGAGTAAACTGGCCAATTTTCCATCCGACTGGCCTGAAGCGGAGGTATGAGATATTCCCTCAAATAGAGAGAAGATTGCTAACACAGATTTATAGTACATGTCTGGTGCAGGGTATATGGGCAACGTGTCAAATCTCCTGGCAATCCAGCCAAAAGATGGATACCAGTACGCCTCAATACTCGGTGTTCTGATTACACCCATGTCCCGAGGAAATGTCACTTTGAAGTCCGCAGACACCTCAGATCTGCCAGTGATTAATCCCAATTGGCTCGATGATGAGGCTGATCAGGAAGTTGCAATTGCCATGTTCAAGCGAATACGCCAGGCTTTCCAGAGTGAAGCTATGCAGCCCGTGGTCATTGGCGAGGAGTACAACCCTGGGCCCCAGGTCCATTCTGATGATCAGGTCCTCGAGTTTATCAAGAATAATGTGATGACCCTGTGGCATCCGAGTTGTACTTGCAAGATGGGAACATCCGATGATGATATGGCCGTGGTTGACTCCCAGGCTCGGGTTTATGGAGTGGATGGACTGCGCGTAGTTGACGCTAGCATATTTCCTTTCCTCCCTCCTGGTCATCCTCAGTCGACGGTTTGTAGGTTTCTCTCGGTATTGCTTTGATTTACCAAGTGCTAACCCGCGTCACAGACATGCTTGCCGAGAAGATCGCGGCGGAAATTATTCGGGATTCCTAAGCGCCTTAATTTAGACTCAGAGGTGAACACGAAAATTATACGATGACTTGCGACGTTCGTTGTAAATTGACATGTAGATAATAAATAAGCTTGTTGTTTGGTCTTGTTGGGTTGTGCTAACGCCAACTCTGGAAGCGATGCCATGAAACATGGGCTCGAAGATGGCAATTGTGTGTCCGTATCTTTAAAAGAGAAGAAGAAATAAGGAATTGGGAAAGTTGATGGGTAAATGCTCTTCCTATAATACAATAAACACCAGATACAAATCCTCATATCGCTACAGAAACCCATAAGTTATTGGAACAAGACATCATGCACACGGAAAATGCCCTCATTTCTTGGCTGTCTTCTTCTTGCCCTTCAAACTCTTCAGCTGAGCAGCCCGTTCGGCTCTCTGCTGACGCTTCCTCCACGCCAACCAACGGTTACCACGATCATGCGCCATAGCAGTGATACCAGCCTTCTCAGCGGCCCGACCAATTTCCCAATTAGCCTCACGGTACATGTAACCGGGGCGGAGCTGGGGGCCAGACTCGGCCTGGACAGCCTCGACATCCGTCACACGGACACCGCTCTCATCAACAGAAGCAACGAGATCAGACTGAGCCACGACACGTTCCGTTATCGGCACAGGTGCCATGTTCAGCTTGCGTCGGCTGGGCGCATTGCGAGGGTGCGGGAGCTGCTCATCCTTGTCAAAAACGACTCCGATATACCGGCGCTTCGAGTGCTTGAGCGGGTCGAGGTAGTAGCGCACGTAGCCGGACTGTGTTGCGTAGATCGTGTGGTCCCGTCCCATTCCGCAGTTCTCACCGGGAAACCATAGCGAGCCACGCTGCCGGAAAATGATGCATCCCGTTACCACGTACTCGCCGCCCGAACGCTTCGCTCCGAGACGCTTACCGGCCGGATCACGGGAGTGTTGATTGGCCGTTCCTTGGGAGGCGTGTGAGGCGTAACGCACTTGTGTGAATGGGAGGAGTGCGCGGGAGAGGGAGGGTGTTGGTGTGGTTTTCGGGAATGTGGATGTTGCGGAGAGAGTGCGCAGGAGGGATTGCGATTGCGAGAGCGTCGGTGTCGACCGGATTGTCGGGGTAAAGGCTCGCTCCAGTGCCCGCAGGGGCGCTAGCACTCGCGGCTTGAACATGGTGGGTAATTGGATTGTTTGGAGGTGTAGATCGTGAAGCTCCAAAGGGGAAGTTTTTCGTTCGGAGATCAGGCTTGGCGTCACGTGTGTACCCGTAAAACTGGCTTCATCTATACACCATTCGAACTCGTTCTTTTTTCTGTACAAATACCCGTTCATTCTGCTATTACTGTCGCTGTGGTTTTTGAAATATGTTGCAGAGCTGGCGCCAAGCCCTTTGGGCTCTTCTCCTTCTTGTCTCTGTCGCCCAGGCCCAATTCAACTTCTTCGACCAGATGTTCGGAGGCGGCGAGCAGCAACAGCGTCAACAACAGCGGTCGCAGAACGCTCCCAGTGACAGTGATCGGTACCAGCAGATGTGGAATGGAGGTAAGAATCAAATATCTGATTGTCAAGAACATGCTGTCGAAAGTGTACTTGCCCTCGTGACCACATAACTGACTCTTTCCTTACAGCACAATGCGACCACTACCTCTGCCCCGGAACTCTTGCTTGTGTCCACTTCCCACATCACTGCCCATGCCCTCACCCTGGTGTCGAGGAGAAGGTCGAACTTGGAGAAGGAAGTGCTATTTGTGTGTCGAAGGGAGGGTTCAAGGCGGGCGAAGCTGCGCGGAAAATTGAATTGGCTCGCAAGGGTCTTTTGTGAAAATTCGGTCTATTATCTTTATTTTATCATGTGAACCATGTGCAGCTACCGATGGGTTGTGAGTTCAAGTCATACAGTTTGGTGCCGCTGGACGGATTAGTTCGATAGGATTGCCATGAATCTTTTTGGATATGCCCAGACGTGCTCAAAATTGGAAAGCCGATGTTGTATATGCAAAAGAATGCCTACATTCTCATACATAACCTGATAATTCTACCTAACACATGTCAACGAGTCTACTATGTATATGTAGACAAGGCCACTTCAGATGCGATTTCTCACGCCTGGCCAAGCACTACTCGGTAATACTCATAAGTAGCAGAGCATGGAGTAATAAATTAACCAGAAGACTAGCTGAATATCTTGAAAATGGAACGCTGTGATCTAAATGAGTGTACGTATAAAGTAGAACCGTTATAAACGATCTGCCGTTGCTATCTCCGATTATCTCCGCAGTGACCTTCCGTCATCGGTTTTTCAGCCTCTCGGCGATGGAGTTACTTACAACTTTCATCCCATCGACCTTTTGCCTCAATCTTTGTCTCTAGGATAATCTGGTCTTTCTCGATTAATATGTGGGGTTTAAGGCTCCGACTCCTGCCAAAACAGTGGACACCAGCTCGAACTCGAGCTCTTTCGAGCTTCAGAAGTCATGGATCTCCGCGTGGTCCTCGCAATAGCATAAGAAGACCGAATCTCATACAGACTTCGAGGAAAGCCGAACCCTCACATAAGCATGAACCTGCTACTTCTGAGTCCCAAAGTGACACAAGTCCCAATTATGACCCATCGCAAAACACTCTACTTTCTCCCGTTTACGTGCCTGAAGATCCCACGGGTGTACTTAAAGAAAACCACCCGGCAGTTTCCATACTGGCGAACTCAGGAATAGTCGTACAACGAGAATTAGAGATGATGAATGTTCTGATGTAAGTGCGCAAGTGCTCATATGCGAGAAACATGTGTACTGACTCCTTCAGTGGATTTGAACAAGCGAATAAATATGTCATCATGGATGCGCAGGGAAATCACATTGGATATATGGCAGAACAGGACAAGGGATTGGTAAATACACTGGCACGGCAATGGTTCCGCACCCATCGAAGTTTTGTGACACATGTATTTGACCGACAACAAAATGAAGTTCTTCGAGTAAGTTCATGGAATGGCCGTCTTATAGCACTTGACTGACTTCGCAGTTCAATCGCCCGTTCTCTTGGATCAACTCCTATATTCATGTCTATAACCCTCTTGATCAAACGCCAAATGCTTACTCGGAGTCCACCTCTCTTCAAGGCACAGCACCCGGTGCTCTCATTCAACCTGGCAACTTATCGAGTGCAAGGATATCCCCACTTGATCTCGGTCAAATGCGAGTTATCGGCGAAGCCCAGCAGCAGTGGGCACCTTTACGGCGAAAGTACAATCTTTTCACTCATCAGCAGTCCCCAAACTCGGAAACAGACATGGGAACCCGTAATTTCTCGCTATCTGATTCTGGCTTATCACGAGCACAGCAGATGCAACTGATGCAAACACCCGACCAACAGCAGGGTCAATTCAACCAATTTGCCTACGTTGATGAGCCCTTTCTATCATGGGATTTCTCCCTCAAATCAGCAGAGGATCAGTTAATTGGATCTGTCAATCGGAATTTTGCGGGCTTTGCTCGCGAAATCTTTACAGATACCGGTGTCTACGCAATGCGAATGGATTCCGCAGCCCTCGGCACAGAAACCTCCCACAGCAAAAAAGCTTTGGGCATGACCCTCGATCAACGTGCTGTTATGTTAGCTACAGCTGTAAGCATTGATTTCGATTACTTCAGCCGCCACCAACGTGGCCTTGGTATATTTGACTTCCCGCCGTATGGGTTCAATATGGGCGGCCAGGCTCCCGCTGAAGGTGCAGCTGCAGAAGGCGCTGCTGCCGGTGAAGCAGGGGCCGTTGGTGGAGTCGCCCCAGGGACTCTTGAGCGAGCCAGAACCGCCGGTGATGTGCCGAATGGTATGGTTTCAGGTGCTACCACCGCAGGTGCAATGGCTGGGTATGAAGCGATGCAGAGGGCCAACACAAGCGATCCAAATGCCTCAGCATCAGAGCCGGTGGACCCGGCCTCACAAGGCTTCGAGGATCAACCTCAAGATCCTTGGGGTAAGGATAGTCCTTGGGGTGAGGATGATACTTGGGGTGATGATGGTTTCTGGGGTGATGATGGTTCTTGGGGTGACGGAGGAGGTGAATGATGGGATTGTTTTGACCGGTGATGAGGGCCAGTTTTTGTACTATAATATTCACTATTAGATGCAGTAGTTGTTCTTTAACTAGAATTTTGCCGTTCACCTGGGCATTTTCCCGTCACCCTAAGAAATAGGTTCCCATGGCATTGCCATGCCTTGTCCACCGCCCCGGAATTATTCCATCCCCACTCTTTCATTCCACCCAAGTCCCCCCCGCAGACACCTCACCACCTAAGTATTTCGAATTGCAGTTTTAATTTCAATCAATTAAGTAGCAAAGATGGCGTCCTCCGTCGCCCAGAAGCGCCTTTTCCACGAATACAAGAACCTCTCCACCAACCCACCAGAGGGTATCACTGCAGGCCCCGTCTCCGAGGATGACATGTTCCATTGGGAAGCCCTGATCCAGGGCCCCGAGGAAAACCCCCTTCGAGGGCGGCGTTTTCGCAGCGGAGCTGAAGTTCCCCAGAGACTACCCCCTGAGCCCGCCGACTATGAAGTTCATTGGAGGTGGTGTGTGGCACCCGAACGGTACGTAACCGAGACAACCCAGGCGCCTGGCTACTTGCTTGCTGGCAAACATCTTACTATGAATTTGAATTACAGTCTACCCTAACGGAACCGTCTGCATCTCTATCCTTCATCCCCCCGGCGATGACCCAAACCACTACGAACACGCATCGGAGCGCTGGTCGCCCATCCAGAGCGTGGAGAAGATCCTCATCTCCGTTATGAGCATGCTTGCCGAGCCCAATGACGAGAGCCCGGCCAACGTTGAGGCTGCTAAGATGTGGCGCGAGCGGAGACCTGAGTACGAGCAGAAGGTCAGGGACGAGGTGAAGAAGGGTCTGGGTCTGTGAGCCGGCCTAGATTGCGGATCAATGCCTCGGTTTTCTCGATGCTGCGCAAGTGGATATTTGCCAACATGGTCTGCTTGTGCTGCGGGGGAGTCAAGATTTGATGACTGGCGTTCAAGGGTTCCTCTTTTCTTCTTTGCATGGCTTGGATATGCGATGGCTTTTCGGTCTGTACAGTGCATTCTTATCCTCGCATTATGATAGCGGATGAAATACATGCAGTTATTTCGATTCACTGTTCTCTTCTCTTGCAACCACTTGCTAAATCTGGCATCTGCTTTTCTACTAATGTATTTGAGCTACATGGCAAGTACTATGGTATATCGTCCCGGTCTTTATTTTATGTGGTCTACACATCTATACCTTCCTAGATATACAGATCGTACAGCATCTTACTCCTGCCGAAACATCCTCCGATTAATCCATCCCTCCAACCCCCCTTGGCACCCATACAAGATCTCGATCTCCGCCTTCAGATTCAAAATCAGCATCCGCTGCAATTCGGCACGCCACTCTGGCTCTGGTCCATCGCTCGCCCAGACAGGACTGTTCCGAAGCATGGCCATAATCTTCTTGCGGTCTCGCGTCGTCAGCGAGAGAAGAGCCGTGTCACCCAGTACCTCGGGAACTGCTATGATATCTGACACTCGAAGACCCAGCCACTGCAGCCTCGGTATACTAAGCCGAGCATTTTGGTGTAAGTGTGCTGCCGATCCGTACTTGTACGTCGACATGATGGCCATGCCATGGGGGTCACCATCGGTGAGGGCATAGAAACGGGGCGGACGTCTGCTCGGGTTGGAGACGGAGTCGGACATTGCGCGCAGGAATGTTCGCGTCATGAAATCGGGGTATCCTTTTCCCTGTTCGAGTACGTTGAACTCAGTTGCTCGTTTGGCGACAGAACATGCCGAAGCAGAGACGCAGCTTACCGTGACCATAATTCCTTCTCCGGCTAGTGCTCTGGTGTGGTAACTTATTCGCGCGAGTCGGTGGAAGACTGCCTGTGGACAGGGGCTCAGCGTACTGATGCTGCATGGGTGGTCTTTCCATGCCTCATACCTCTTTTTCGATGACCAGTACCCAGCGGACCCGTGAAATATCAATCTCGTCTCCGTCCTCGACGCGAGGAATCAAACTGTCCTCGGTGACAGACTGCGCATCGATCAAAATGTGGGAGCCACGGATCAACCGAAAATCTCCCGTCACTAGTCCTTTTGCTGCTGCTTCCTGGAGAGTAATGCACGAGGTCAACAGGCTGGCCTCGCAGTGCTATTCCACCAAAGGATTCAGCAGGACTAACCACATTCAATGCCGTTCTGTTCACTCCGATGGTATACGCCAGGTCATCGACAATGCGGTCCACGGTACATTGCATGCGGAAGAATTCCGGGTCGATGTAGTATATGTCTCTGTTGGTTGTATGGACGTGCTCAGCATACCTTCCAGACCGGGGTCTGGACATCACCAGCTCACCTCTTGGAGATTAGCTGGCCCGTTCGAATAGCTTGGTCCAATATAGCTAGGATTCGAAGGATGACGGCTATCAGAAGACGCAGACTTGGTCAGTTCATCATCTAGGAATGATACCCAGGTTGTGTTCAGATCATGGTAGGAAAGATCTTACTGAATTTCCAGGCCTCATATGCCGTCTTTCCTGGCCAAGAGTATTTCCTGTATGTTTCGACTCTAGGACTCGCTTCCAATGCCCCGTTGATGGGGTTGATGATGCAAGCAATTGGGCTGGCTCTGCGCTTGAGGGTGATGGAGATGCTTGCCTCTGCCGGGGACTGTGAGAGTCCGTGGATGAGGGCTGCGAGGGTGTTGTCGATCAATTCTTGGACTGAGGGATCTCGACCATCGTCTATTTCCAAAGTGTGAATGGTTGATGGCTCAACCATTGCCATTGGGGTGGATTGGGCAAGGCGAGGATGTTCTGGGGGGCGAGGATGTTCTGGGGTTGAAGGATAAATGTATCTACCCGTGCACCGCCTGAGTGCTTACATGACACTTTCCATAGCATATCTAGATGAATCTTTCATTTGAACGGTGCGTTTTATATAAAAAGGAATTCGGTTCATTGCTAGTAAAAAGAAGCCTTTAACTTGCTATGACTTGATCAATAGAGGTTAGAAATTGGTTACTTCATGTCGAAGATTCCAATCTTCTTCTTCTCGTCGTATTTAGAATTTATTGCCTTGAGCATCTGTACGCCGAATAGTTTCTTTTGGTTTGCATATCTTTTCGTTGAGGTCTGAGGTTCTTGAAGTTGTATAGACTTCGGGATGCCAGGCCACGCCACCACCACCACCATAGGCTCCTATCTCTTGATCAGAACATCTTTGGCACCCTCGTACTCCTCTTCCTTCTTATTCTCCTTTCAATCCATTGTCTTCCTGGCATCACATGTTGTAAAACATTCTTCATTCTACACCGCAGTCGTGATACTGATGACTAAGCTTCCCCGGTTTCCACCCGTGCCTTAGCTCCTAAGCTGTTTATCGTCTTTACTAGGTTGGCGAAAAGACCAAATTCCTCATACCATGTCTTCTACTCCTCATATTGGGCCATGGAGAACACCAGCCGAGGGTCATCTCACCCCAGATGTCAATGGAGATCTTAAAACCGACTACTCACGCTGGCGATTGCTCGATGAGGAAGGCCGTCAGACATGGCGGTATCTCGAATCCGATGTGGATAACCAAGAATGGCCGCAGTCAGTAGCTGATAAATATCACTTGGGACTGCCAACGGTATTTAACCCCCATTGGCAAAGATCTAAATCTTCCGATTCTAACGGCGCATTATAGGGTCTTCCAGAGCTGCCACAGGCCAAGACGCCATTGGAAGCCGCCGAGAATGGGCTTTCATTCTTCTCGCATCTGCAACTGGAGCCCGGAAACTGGGCTTGCGAGTACGGTGGCCCCATGTTCTTGCTGCCGGGTATTTTGATTACTTACTATGTGACCAATACCCCTATTCCCCCTGAGTATGCAACGGAGATCAAGCGATACCTGTTTGCCCGTCAGCACCCAGAGGATGGTGGATGGGGTCTGCACATCGAAGGCCACAGTTCTGTCTTCGGTACTTGTATGAACTATGTGGCACTGCGCTTGATCGGTGTCAGCGAAGAGGACCCGCGCATGATCAAAGCCCGGGGCCTTTTGCATAAACTCGGAGGTGCGGTCTACGGTCCTCATTGGGCTAAGTTCTGGCTCAGCATTCTGGGAGTGATGGAGTGGGAGGGTGTCAACCCAGTTCCTCCTGAGATTTGGTTGGTTCACGCATTGCAACATGTATAACCTCTTTTATTAACCGACTACATAGGCTTCTTCCCGACTGGGTTCCCTTTGCTCCTTGGCGGTGGTGGATTCATATGCGCCAGGTGTTCCTCCCAATGTCTTGGCTGTGGTCTAAGCAATGGTCACACCCTCCAGATGACTTGACAAGACAGCTGCGCGAAGAATTATACACCCAGCCATACAGCTCTGTCGACTTTGCTGCGCATCGCAATTCGATTCACGAGGTAGACAATTATTACCCCAAGACGTGGCTGTTGAATACAGCCAATGAACTGTTGGTTCGGGTCTGGAACCCTTACCTTCGACCCCCCAGTATTGTCAAGCGAGCTGAGGAATGGACCTGGGAATTGATTCGCATGGAAGACGAAAACACCAAATATGCGGGGCTGGGACCCGTCAACAATCCAATGAACATGGTGGCTTGCTTTATCCACGACGGCCCTGACAGTTACTCTGTCCGCCAACACAGGGAGCGATTGAATGACTATATGTGGGTCAAGAACGAGGGCATGCTCGCAAACGGCACCAATGGCGTTCAAGTCTGGGATACGGCATTCATCACCCAGGCGGTCGTCGTTGCTGGTTTCGCCGACGATCCTAAATGGCGACCGATGTTGACCAAAGCTCTCGAGTTCCTGGAAGACCATCAATTACGAGAGAACGTGCCAGACCAAGAGAAATGCTACCGCCAACACCGCAAGGGCGCTTGGCCGTTCAGTACCAAGGACCAGGGCTACACAGTTAGTGATTGCACCGCCGAGGGTCTCCGTTCAACACTCCAGCTGCAGGAGATGCACGGCTTCCCCAAGCTGATCTCCGAACAACGGTTGAAGGACGCTGTCGATTGTCTCTTGCTCATGCAAAACCCAAGCGGCGGCTTCTCCGAGTATGAAATTACCCGCGCTTCACCCAAGGTCGAGTGGCTCAATGCTGCAGAGGTCTTCGGCGGAATCATGATCAGCTACGACCACCCCGAATGCACAACGGCATCTGTTACGGCTCTGTCACTCTTCAGCAAATTCTACCCCGAATATCGCGCCGACGAAATCCGCGCCGCGAAGCAGAAGGCTGTCAGCCACATCAAGCACGTACAGCGCGCCGACGGTAGCTGGTATGGCTCTTGGGGCATCTGCTTCACCTACGCAGCGTTGTTCGCGCTCGAAAGTCTGGCCAGCGTCGGCGAGACATATGAAACAAGCGCAGACTCTCGTCGAGGCTGTGACTTCCTGATCGAGAAGCAGCAGGCCGATGGTGGCTGGGGCGAGTCATACCTTAGTAGCGCAACCCATCAGTATGTTCAGCACGAGAAATCCCAAGTGTGCCAGACTGCCTGGTCTCTTCTTGGGCTTATGGAAGCGGGCTACCCGCACAAAGAGCCGTTAGAGAGGGGCATCAGGCTGTTGATGTCTCGCCAGCAGCGGAATGGTGAGTGGCTGCAGGAGGCGATTGAGGGAGTATTCAACCAGTCTTGGTAAGTTTGAGCTGTCCTGATCTTCTAGGTTTGATTTACTAACCGTCCTTATAGCATGATCTCCTATCCCAACTACAAGTTCTACTGGCCTATCCGTGCCTTGGGCTTGTATAGTAAGAAATTCGGCAATGCAGAGCTCGTGTAAACCTCTAGGGAAAATAATATTCTACAGAAATGAATCTAATCAATAATAACGTGCATGAGCTGGTATTGACTTGATACATGTTGTATCTCTTTCTTCTCTCATGTTCCCAAATGCAACATCCACCTCTAAGTAAGTACAACACGTGACCATCCAAAATGATCAACAGAAGCTTGGGCCACTGCGGCTCCTTGAAACCCCCCACGTTGTTTGCGATTGCTTTCATTCGAACCAACTACGTCCGTCAGACCCTGATACCATCATCATGAATGCTGCAGCTCAGGGTGACAAGGCCTCGGCCGAATCCAACTACCCCATCGCTATCGAACACTACACCCATGCCTTGAGCGAGCTACCCCGCGCTCCGGCATACTACATCTCACGATCGACTGCCTATTCGCGCCTCAAGCCAGCAAATGGCGGACCCAACTATCAGGCCGCACTTGACGATGCCGAAATCGCGCTCCAGCTCGCCAAAGAGCGGGGAAACCGCGAGTTTATCCTCTCCGCTCAGATGCGCCGTGCCGTGTCGCTGTACCAGCTTGAGCGGTATGGAGACGCAGGATTTGTGTTTGAAATTATTGCTGATAAAACCAAGAGCGAGCAAACGCTAGCGAATAGATCCGAACAGGTGCAAGCTGCCATGGGAGGACCAGGATCTGCGTCGAAGGGCGCCAGAAACAATTACAGCGCCCAATTGCCGATTTGGACCGCCAAAATTCAACGGAAGCTAGCAGAGCTACCCAAGGACGACCCGCGATGCACTGTGTCTGTTACCGAGTTCCCGTCTTCCGTATACGTTCCGACTGGAGACGAGATGAAGGCTCAGTGGAAGGCCCTCAAGGCTGGCAACGTGGGAGAGGCCGGAGCCTCGCAGACTAAGACACAGCCGGCAGAGCCCCAGCAGCCATCCGCAAAGGAGTCTGGTTCAACTGCTCAACTTCCAGACCCAAGCTCCGCTACAGCTGTTTCTGTTTCCCCGGAGAAGGTTCGTCATGAGTGGTACCAGTCACAGGACTCTGTCGTTGTGACTCTTTATGCCAAGGGGATCTCAAAGGACAGTGTCGCAATCGACCTGAAAGAGGATTTGGTAAGTGATATTCTGCCTGGCCATTATTGGACTTTGGACTAATTCTGAAACAGGTCTCGCTACAATTCCCCCTCCCATCTGGCTCCGAATACGACTTTACCCTCGACCCGCTCTATGCAGCTATCAATCCTGCCGAGTCCAAGGTCTCAGTCAAAGGCACCAAGATCGAACTCACTCTGCGAAAGCAGAAAGCCGGCCACAAATGGGGTGCCCTCGAGGGCTCAGCCACCGACCCCGCCGCGATCACCGACCGTCCAGCGGCGCAAACCTCGCCGGCTCCCACGGGTCCTTCGTATCCTACCTCCTCACGCAGCGGCCCCAAGGATTGGGACAAAGTCGCATCGTCGCTTACTGCGAAACCAAAGGCTGATGGAAACGCAGATGTATCGGATGACGAAGGTGGGGATGCCGTGGACGGGTTCTTCAAGAAGCTGTATGCCGGCGCTGACCCAGAGACGCGTCGAGCCATGATTAAAAGCTACACCGAAAGCCAGGGAACATCGCTGAGCACGAACTGGTCTGAGGTTGCGAAGGGGAAGGTAGAAGCCCACCCTGAATGATTCTCTACTTGCTATTTTCCGTCTTCTAAGCCGCATGTAGCGAGGTGTTTCTCGGGTATTTTAGCTTAGTTCTCAATTAACCGTCTCTTCTCAAGTTGTTTATTAATACTGGTTCAGCAAGTAGTTCAATTTGTCAACAACCAAAGCTACCCCACTCTATAGACGAGACACCACAGTCGTCCCATCCCCATAAAGCGGAATAGCAGCCCCAGCTCCATCCTGGCGGCGCATCGTAGCCATGACAGTCCCACCCACAACCTTCAAAGAAAACTTCGCCCCCTCTTCACTGGGCCAATTCATGAAAGACTCCCCGTCATAAACCTGTTCAAAGATCCTCGCCGG